GAGAAAAACATTGATGTGAGGGAAAAGTATTGGTTGCCTCCTCTATGTGCCCAGACTGGGAATTGAACTGTAACTTTTTGGTGTTTAGGACCATGTTCCGATGAACTAAGCCACCGAGCCAGGGCTGCTATCTTTTTGTTTATAGCCATCCTACTGGGCATGAGGTGGAATATGTGAATTTGATTTGTAGTTCCCTAACGACTAATGATGCTGATTATCTTTTCTTTTTTAATCCTCACCTGAGTGTATGCTTATTAAGGAAAGGAGAGGGAGAGAGAGAGAGGAAGAGCATGACATATCAGTGTGAAAGGGGAACATTGGTTGCCTCTCATAAGCACCCCTACTGGGGATTGAACCCACAACCTAGGTATGTGCCCTGACTGGAAATCAAAACTACAGCCTTTTTTGGTGCACCGGGCGATGCTCTGACCAACTGAGTCACCTGGTCAGAGTGATCATCTTTTCATGTACTTATTAGTCATTTATATATCTTCTTTGGAGAAATGTCTATTCAAATCTGTCCAGTTAAAAATTGGGTTATTTGTCCTTTTATTATTGAGTTGTAAGAGTTCTTTATATTCTGGGTACTAAACTCTTTTCAGATATATGGTTTCCAAGTATTATCTCCCATTCTTTGGATTGTCTTTTTTACTTTTTTGATAGTGTCCTTTGAAGCACAGATGCTTCTTTTTTAAAAAGATTTTATTTATTTATTTTTAGAAATTGGGGAAGGGAAGGAGAAAGGGAAGGAGAGAAACATTGATGTGAGAGAGAGAGGCATTGATGGGTTGCCTTTCGCATGCACTCGGACCTAGGGCCAAATCTGCATCCCTCGCATGTGCCCTGATGGGAATTGAACCTTGTGGCCTTTTGTTTGCTTTGTCACAGCTGGTCAGGGCACAAATGTTTCTTATTTTGATGCAGTCCAGTTTGTATATTTCTTTTCTTATAATTTGGTATCATAACAAAGAAACTTTTGCCTAATTTAAGGTAATGAAGATTTATGTTTTCTTCTGAAAATTTTATGGTTTTAGTGCTTACATTTAGGTCTTTCATCCATTTTGAGTTAATTTTTTTAATAGAGTATGGAGTAGAGGTCACATTTCATTTTTTTTCTGTTGGAAATCTAGTTGTCCCAGCACCATTTGTTGACCATTCTTTCCATATTAAATTAGTTGTCCAGGCACTCTGTTGGAAATCAATTGACTATAAATGCGTTGGTTTATTTCTGAATTCTCAATTTTGTTCTGTTGGATCTGTATGTCTTTTCTTATGCCAGTACAAATCATACTTGGTGATTTGATGTTTGATGATGGTAGGTTTGTGATAGGTTTTGGATTAGAAAGTGAGAGTCCTTTTTAATAGATTGTATGTTCTAAAAATTTTTCAAATTTACAAGTTTATTACAGTAAAATTATAATATCCTCTTATTAGTTTAATCTCTGCAGCATTTGTAATGATGCTCCCTTTTTTTGTCTTTTTTCTTGATTTGTTTTTTCCAGAGGTTTATCATTTCGATCACTCTCTAGAAGGATGAACTGTTGACTCTGTTGATCATCCCTGTTGTGAATGTTTTCTGTCCTTTTAAGTCCTGCTATTTATTTCTGCTTCCTCAGAATTTCTGGGATTTTTATGCTGTCCTTTAAAAACACTTTTAAATTTGAATTCTTAGTCTTTTAACTTGCATCTAAGTATCATCTTGGCTGCCTTCCCACACATTTTGGTACAGAATATTCTTGGCTTTGTTTATTTTAAAAGTAATTCTTATTTGTTCCATGAATCGTTTAGACATGTACACTTAATTGTAAGTATGTAACTTTTAAAATAATTTTTTTATTCTTTGTCATTCGTGCTAATGTCCCAGTCCCTCTTTAAGACGATTTAATTGGAGAGGACTCGTTTTGTTTGAGGTTTGTTTTTGCTTTAGGTATTGTTTTGGTTCTTTTGTTTGTTTGTTTTCATTTTTAAATATTTATTTTATTTTTTACAAGTGTATTTTATTGACTATGCTATTACAGTTTTCCCAATTTTTCCCCCCTTTATCCTCCCTCCACCCTGCACCCCTCCAACCCTCCAGCATTCCCCCCACCTTAGTTCATGTCCATGGGATTGCACATATAAGTTCTTTAAGTTCTGTGTTTCCTATACCATTTTTGACCTCTCCCCATCTATTTAATGCCTACCAATTATGCTTCCTCTTCCCTGTCCCTTTTCCCCCTATTCCTCCCTTCCCCCTCCCTACTGAAATCCCTCCACATGATGTCCATTTCTCTGATTCTGTTCCTGTTCTAGTTGTTTGCTTAGTTTTTGTTTTTGTTGTTTTTCTTTCTTTTGTTTTTTTTAAGTTTATTTGTTGATAGTTGTGAGTTTGTTGTCATTTTACTGTTCATATTTTTGATCTTCCTTTTCTTAGATAAGTCCTTTTAACATTTTATATAATAAGGGCTTGGTGATGATGAACTCCTTTGACTTGACCTTATATGGGAAGCACTTTATTTGCCCTTCCATTCTAAATGATAGCTTTGCTGGATAGTGGCTTTTTTTTTTAATTACTTTATTCTTGTTCAATTACAGTTGTCTGCATTTTCTCCCCACCTCTTCCCCACACCCCAGCCAAACCCACCTCCCTTCCTTGCTTCCATCCTCCTTCTTGGTTTTGTTCATGTGTCCTTTATAGTAGTTCCTGAAAACCCTCCTCCTCACTGTCCCCTGCCTCCTCCCCTCTGGCTATTGTTAGATTGTTCTTAATTTCAGTGGCTCTGGTTATATTTTGTTTGCTTTTTTCTTTTGTTGATTATGTTGCAGTTAAAGGTGAGATTGTGTGGTATTTGTCCCTCACTGCCTGGCCTATTTCACTTAGCATAATGCTCTCCAGTTCCATCCATGCTGTTGCAAAGGGTATAAGCTCCTTCTTTCTCCCTGCTACATAGAATTCCATTTTGTAAATATACCATAGTTTTTGATGCACTCATTTGCTGATGGGCACTTAGGTTGCTTCCATCACTTGACTATTGTAAACTGTGCTGCTGTGGACATTGGGGTGCATAGGTTCTTTTGGATTGGTGTTTCAGGGTTCTTAGGGTATAATCCCAGCAGTGGAATTGCTGGGTCAAAAGGCAGTTCCAGTTTTAGTTTTCTGAGAAAATTCCATACTGTTTTCCACAGCAGCCATACCAGTCTGCATTCCCATCAATAGTGCAATAGGGTTTCCTATGCATATAGTATTCTTGGATATAGGTCCTCACCTTCAGTGTATTTGAATACTTCTTTCCAGCCCTTTCTTGCCTGTAAGGTTTCTTTAGAGAAGTCAGCTGATAGGCTTATGGGCACTCCCTTGTAGGTAACTCTTTCCTTTCCCCTTGCTGCTTTTAAGATTTTCTCTCTCTGTTTTTAATCTTGGATAACTTAATGATGATGTGCCTTGGTGTGTTCCTCTTTGGGTCCAACTTCTTTGGGACTCTCTGGGCTTCCTGGACTTCCTGGAAGTCTATTTCCTTCACTAGACTTGGGAAGTTTTCCTTCATTATTTGTTCAAATAAGTTTTCAATTTCTTGCTCTTCCTCTTCTCCTTCTGTCACCCCTATAATTCGGATATTGGAGTGTTTAAAGTTGTCCCAGAGGTTCAAAAGTCTCTCTTCATTTTTTTGGAATTCTTGTTTCTTCATTCTGTTCCAATTGAATATTTATTTCTTCCTTTAGTTCCAAATACCAAAGAAATACCAGGTAATTAAATCAAAGGTGTTAGTGTTGGAATTGCATAGGGCCAGTAATTCAAGTGATATTCAAAGAAAATACTAGTTAATACTAGGCACCCTTTAAGGTCAAAACTGAGAAGAACTTAGGGGAAAGGTTGGCATCATAAATTCAACATGAACAGTAGTCTCAGCCCTAGAGTTCCTCACCTTCACCTAGGTTCATCCTAAGACTGTAGGAACTTAAAGGAGTGACCTAGCTTGGAGGGAGTGATACAGGTTAGAAAATGACTTTTAGGCAATTGACTTGCCTAGGTAGAACTTGTAGACATCACATCTGCTATAATAGCTGCAATCCAAATGACAGTCTTGGAATATATGTTGTATGAAAAGGAGGACATCTGGTGGCTGCGAAGTCTTGTGAACATTCAGTACTTGCACACTTTTGTGGCCACAATGCTTATAAGCATTGCTTCTATGAAAAGTTTGTTATACTACATGCTGAATTTCAAAGCATTTTACATGAAATAGCTGTCAATGTTCAGGTAAATCTAAGTGATAATTTTAAGCTACATTTCTTAAAGTAATCAGTAACTATTAAGTAAATTAGTAGTAATGTAAGATTATTTGGTTGTAGTTTTATTGTTAAGTTTTTGCATTGCAGAAGTTCAGGGACAAGGGTTATCAATAAGTATGCTGCTGTTTTGAAACACTATCTAATATTAGAGTATTTATTCATTTAACTAAAACTTACTGAGCATTTAATGTTTTTGGCATGCCAAGCACTAGGGATATAGCAGTGAAGAAAATAGAGTCTTTGCCTCAATGGAGTTTACATTTGGTGGCTATGGGGTAGAGAGACAGGGACTCAAAAGTAAAGTCAATATATAGTGTGCCAGTTGGCAATAAGTCATGGAGAATAACAGAGTAGCGTATGAAGAAAAGGAGTGCTGTTACAGGATGGGGGTCTGCCTGTTTCATATAGGCGCTTAGGGGAGTCCTCTGATAAATCGATTTGTGAGCAAAGAAAGACCTGGCACAAGTGAGGCTGCAAGCTCTGCGGGTACCTGGCAGAAGAGTGTTCCACATAGAACAGCGGTTGCAAAGGATCTGAGGTAGAATCATGCTTAATGTATTCAGAAACGGCAGGGAGGCCAGTGCGGCTGAAACAGAGTGCAGAGGGGGAGAGTTGTAAAGTATTAATACATGACATTAGTAGTGGAGCAGAAAGGAAGGGCAAGAAGCGACACAAAATATTTAGGACCTTGTAGGCCAGGCCATTAAAAAGTCTTTGATTTTTACTTTCAGGGGAATAGGGTGCAATACAAGATACTGTCAGGAAAAACTATGAATGACTTTGAAATGGGCAAAAAATGGTGAGTGAGTACCCTGTCTTGTTCATCCATTGGATTTATATCTGTCTCATTTTCTTGGAGTTATCTTGCAGTTTTGTAATTTGTAGAAAGCTTAAAAAGGCACATGAGTCATAGCTATAGAAGTGCAAATAAATTGTGTACAGTGGAATGTAATTGATTATTGCCCTATGAATAAGAACCGTTTTACATGGATTTGTAAATTCATTTCAGAATTCCTCATTCTCTATATAGGTGTGGTTCTTGGAACTCTCCTTTGAACCAGTTGTAACATCTTAATGGTTCCCTTGTTAATTAATGAGTTAAATAATATCTTTGACATGTGTTCATTTTACCATGTTTCTAATAGTCATGATTTTTACCATTTAAAAATATATGCAATCCAGTAACACTTTTTAACAGAACTACTCTGGTTGCTCTGTTGAGAAAAGGCTGGAGGAGGACAGGAGCAGAGGCAGAAGCCTTCAATCAATCAGAAGGCTATTGCAAAATCCAGACAAGAAGTGATGGTAGCTTGAACCTGAGACGTAGTGGTGGGGATGCTAAGTAGCTGTTGAATTGGGATATATCTTTAAGACGTCTGAAAGGATTTATAGATTAGAGATGGGATATGAGAGTGAGGTGTCATGGGTGACTGCAAGATTTTTGAGATATTGATCTTAATAATATTTACAAATAACTCCTTCCCTTTATCCATTTTTGTGTTGGTAATTTTTATTTTTCATTTTTAGGAATTTAGTCAGAGTTTAGGCAGGTTAAAGGAAACCAGCAAGCAGTGATGACCAGGCTGGCTAGTAACAGTAGGAGCTATTACCACCTCGGTTGGTCTGAAAGGGACAGAGGAAGGGGGAGTGATCACCTGAACCAGCAAGAGCTGTAGGTGTAGGAGAGGGTTGTCTGGTAGGAGCTTTTCAGCAAGGAATGGAGCCACAGCCAACCTGGTCTGTTGGTGCCCATGCAAGTTGGGCTCCTAGGAGGGCTCTGGAGGAGACCAAATGGAAAATATCCAGCATTGCACATAGTTTTATAAACTGTCATAAAACAAACAGAAAACCAAGTAAACAAATAAACACAACATAAAGACAAACAAGTAAGCAAACAACCCGATGTACCTGAACTTTAAAATGAAGAAAAGAAAGAACATAATTTTTTAGTAGTAAAAAGTTATATTGTAAAAACTCAGCTGGGTAGGTTTTAATGACATGGAACAGAAGTCTTACAGCTAAAATCAGTCATAAAAGATTTTAAATCAACTTAAGTTTTTTACTTTGGACTCACAAGGTTATAAAAATCCCTCTCTCTTTTATGTTTTACTTATGTGTTTTAATTTAATCTAATTTAAAAAACTTTATATAACCATTACTTTCTATTTCTGAGTATTTAAAAGCTTTTTGGTTGTGTCTTTCCCTTTGTTCTTTTTAATTAAAAGTATTTGAGATTAGTTTGGTCCTTGAAATTTACTCCAATTGAAATAAAGCCCAAGTCATCTCATCCAGCTTCTTAACCAGTAGTGGAATCTAGTGAACTCAGCATTTAAGGGGAACTCAGTGCTTTGTTAGACAGATGTCTGTTTTATTCTCATAGATGTCTGTGGTTTGGTCCAACTTCTGTTTTAGAAACAAGCAAGGCAGGTTATTCCGTGAAACAGAGAAAGTTGAAGACAGCTGAGTGTTCAGTCCTGCTCTTTTTTACTGCTCAATATTTTTTTCGCCAAAGTAACGTTCTATTGTTTCTGCAGTCTTACCTTAATAATTAGACACCTTCTTATGTGATTTCACTTTGAGTCATTCTCTTCCTTAGGCTTCTCTCTTGGGGATTTCTTCCTGCTTCTTGGACAGTGCCCATTCAATTTCCTTTGCGGGCTTCTCTTCCTCTACAGTTCTTTAAATGTTGGTGTTTATAAGTTCCTGTAGATTTTACTTTTCTTCTCATTGGGCAATTGCATCTTGTCCCATGCCTTGCATCTATCTATAAGCTGATGACTCTCAGGTCCGTATCTCCAACTCAGATCTTTGTCCCGCCTCTGTAACTGTATTTCAGTTTTCCTGTTCACCACTTTCACTTGTGTATCTTACAGGTACCACAGTACATTCAAAACTGAGCTTATATGCTTCTTTAAACCTTGTGTCCATCTGTCCCCTAGCTCAGTAAGTGTGCTATCACTTAAAAGGAGATTGTGGATATGTTCCTTGACTCCTGCTCTTCTTCCCAGTCTAATTAATATTGGCTGTTACTAATACCAGTAACTTCTAAATATTGCTCTAATCCATCCTCTTCATCTTCATTGTTCGCTGCCCTAGTTAGGATACTCCCTACTGTTATCACTGCAAGAGCCTTCAAACCTAACAACCCTAGGAGGTAGGTAGTGGTGGTGGTGTTTTTAACTTTCCTATGAGGAAACTCAGATTCAGAATGGTTAGATAAGAACTCAGATCTCTCTAACCCTGAAGCCCATGTTATTTCCACTGTGTACTATTTGACTGTGTACTATATTTCATTGACCTAAGAGACATTTTCCATTTTTATTCACAAAAATTTGGGTGTATCAGTCAGTGACAGGTCATAGTTTAATTGGCTACTTGTATACTTTATGGTCCATAAACTATTAGCCTTAAAATCAACTGTGTCTCAGCTTTGATGAAAAACAGTGTATATATCTCCATTAGTATTCAAAATAATAACAACAAGAACGATATGTGGCCTCCATACCTGCGGATTACTGTTTTGGTAAGCCTCCATTTTCTTAAGCACTGCCAAGAACTGGAAAGTAAGCAAAGAAGGCTTCTGGTGCTTAAAATTATTGTTATAAAGCTCATAAAGTAAAGATTATATACTTTAACATAGAGTATTTTGTCTCTGAGTATAGGGCTTTATTTTGCAACTAATTTTAATAGGCTGGGGTATCTGATTACAGAGTCTTTAAGGAGTCAAAAGAGTGAACTGAAAATAAAAACAAACACAACAAAAAACACACATGCATGTTTATTAACGGACAATTCTGGGACCTGCTGTACTATCAGCTGAGAATGAAGGTGACCAACAAAGTAAGAATTAAAAACTACTTTTAAAAAACAACATAAAGCCCAGAATGGCCACATAACCCTATTTCACTAGAGGCAAACAGCCTGACGACACACAGAAATCACCCTGATTATAGCTTGGAAAAGATTCTTCATCAAAATACAGTCTCTGATTCCATTGGCACATTTTTTAAGGACAAAATGTATTTTATTTTCTCATTTTGATTGGGGAACATTTGTTGTTGATTAATTTTCCCCTCCTATGGCTTAATGGAGTTTCCTAGAACATATTTTGTCCTGAAAATACCAGGGGGAGAAACAACAAAGAAGAACATAAAGGATTTGCGCCTGTAATCCCAGTTGTGTCTAGACCCTGATCTTCCTACCCATGTTGCTCAATGGCACCGGAGTGCCATTTTTAGGCCTGAGGGCTATAGACTTGGGTATAGGTTGTTAGGAAGGTGTTAGAGAAGAAAGACCTAAGTAGAGGAGAAAAACTTAACAGACTGTGGTACTGAGGACTGTTTGTAGAAGCTCTCAGTGGGCAGTTGTGCACCAGATGGCCAACTGCATCATTTTTGTTTGGAATAAACCCAGACTATGTATATCCATAAATTCTTAGCATTAGGGGGGCCTTTCAGGACATTCCCCTAAGACATGTGAATTCTGAGAATAACTTTGCTGACTGCAAGCACCTTGAACCTAAGAGTGGATGTTAAGTTCTCTGTGTTGGCAGATTGCCAGGATTTACTAATTAGGTTTTGCCTGCTTAAATTCTCCTGGCAATTTCCCTTGGCCACACTCTGCCCTAACCTGTTTTGTATGCAGTCTGCCCGTGGGCTCTACTTAGACATTTATAGCATTTATTTCTAAAGAGGCCTTTAATAAAATATTGATTTGTATATTTTTTAGCTAATAATTTGTTGATTAAAAAGCAATTCGCACTCAATAGAAAATATGAGTAGAAAAATGCCTTTCATATTATTACCAAGTGAACCAATGTTAACATTTTAGTATGTTTTAGTCTAGTTATTTTCCCCTGAGTATAGAAGAAAGACAGATAAGTGTGAAGGCTATTTTTCTTTTTAATAAGAATCTTCTCAAATTTGGTACTGGTCACTAATAGTAATTTTTAAAATAATTTTTTTTTCAGAATAATTTTAGAATGACAAGTAGAAAGCTAGCACAGAGATTCTTAATTACCTAATGTTAACCATACACAACTGTGATATATTTATCAAAACTAAGAAATTAACTCTGGTATGATATTACGAGCTACACCATAGGCTTTATTTGGATTTTGCCAGTTTTTCCACTAAGGTTCTTTTTCTGTTCCAGGATCCAGTTCAGAATACCATATTGCACTGTGGCCTTTTTTTCTATTTAACTTTATACCAAGAACATCTTTTTGGTCATTAAATATTCTTTAAAAAATTCTTATTAGTGGCCTTGTAAAAGTGCATCAAATGGATAGATGCACTCTGATGTAAATATTTCTGGTTAACTTTTGGGGGGCATTTCGTGAGGGTAGGAAGTGCTAAAAAATACACAAATGCACTGAACATTTTTATTAGTGGTATATTTGAGTCAGGTGAGTTTGCTAGATTGTAACAATTGTAACACAGGCATTTAGTGTTTTGTTGTTTTAAAGAATAAAGCCATGAAGTCAACTGTTTTCCGAGAACTGTTAGGTAGCATGCTAAGGAAAATACTATAAAATTCATTCTTGGAGTCTACTGTTGCTCATTTTAGTCAGATCTCAAAGTTAAATATTAACGTTAGAGTTCAGTCCGTGCTAGTGAATTAGTGTCTAATAGTGAATTTATAAGCTAGAGATGTATTATGAAGGGTAAGTAGTCATGTGTTAATTTGACACAATGATGTGGATTAATATATAGAAATAATAACTGAGTTGAAGAATACAAATGGGATTCTGACATACAGTACTTATAGAAAATTGAATGCACTGTCTTTGTAAGATCAAACATATTCATTGAAATTTTCAGAATCAATGATAAATGCTTTCTGGAGAATGCCTGTACTTTCTTCTACTATCTTAAACATCACTTATCTTTTTGTGGTGCAGTCTGTGAATATTTAGTGGCGAGAGCTCTGTGATCTGTCACACAGAATGTTTATCACTTTGATGTTGCTGGAGGATAGTATTTGATTTCCTTGTAATATTTTTATATTGCAACATAAAGCACTGAACTAAGAGTTTCTTTGAGAGTTCCCAAGGCTGATGATTTTTTTTTTTTTTTCTGTGATTGAAGGTTCTGGGAGCTTTGCCATTGGCACTGATTACATTATTGAATTAGCTAAGGCCGGGTGACTCATCTGCTGGGTTTGCACATCTGTAGATGTATTTTTTATATCTTAGGGCAGAGATTATGGGCAAGCTGACTTAATTGTGTAAATTTCATCACCAGGGTTTCTGGGTATAAGTATGTTCCAAGGTTATAGATGACTCTAGGATTGAATTAAGGCAGAGATGTGTTTTATATCATTTTCCATTTTAGTTTTATTTTAGCAAACCATTTTAGTACCATTTTATCAGTGCAAACACTGATAACAGTGCAAACAACTAAGTACACATAGTTGTGCATTAATACATTGATAGATGGCAGATAAAGATACAGACACAGCCCTGGCAGGGTGGCTTAGTTGGTTGGAGTGTTGTCCCATACACCAAAAAAAAAAAAAAAAAAAAAAGTTGCAGGTTCCATGCTTGGTAGGGCTTGTAAGGGAGGCAACCAATCAATGTTTCTCTCTCTCCCTCTCCCACTTTACCTCTCCCTTTTCCTGCCTGCCTCCCTCCCTCTCCCTTCCTCCTAAAATCAATAAGCATATCCTCCAGTGAGAATTTTTTAAATAGATATGATACAGATACCGACTCTTTTATTTCTATTTCCAAAAGCCAAAATGCATAATTGAAAGTGACTTTGTCAAATTCAATGTGAAATATGAAGTTAAAGTGGATGACTTTCTCTAGGTCTGGAATGGGTATCTGGGTTTATGTCATTATTCTACAGTGATACTGCAGGTTACAGGTGCTGTTGGGAGAATGTTTATGTTTATGATGGATACTGCTACTTTTACGTTAGACTTTGGGCATCATAGATAATCAAACACCATTAGGTATTGGATGTTCTTATATATACTCTACATTTTCTGCTTCTGTGAGAAAGTATTTGGTAGGACATTAGTGGTGTCTTTAAGATTATAAAGAAAAATGTGAACTGCTCTCAGTAGTGCAAACTATATCTCTTCATGAAATGGTTATGAGCCTACCTCCCAGCTCATCTCCTGATGTTTTCCCATGCATTACCTACATTTCAGCTATAGGGAACTTCTGTTCCAGAAGCATCTGGAACAGGCCATGTTCTTTCACACTTTTGTGTGTTCGTGTGCAGTCTTCTTGATCTGAATTGCCCTTGCCCTAGCAAACTCCAGTCTCTCTTTCAGGACTTGGCTTAGAGGTCACCTTGCCCAGGAAGCCTCTCTTGTCACTTCTTCTTTTCCTTCTGCTCTGAGTTGAGTGTTGTGAGTGTTGTGCCATGTGTTAATTTTCTTGACTGCCTCCTTCACTAAAGAGTAAGCTCCTTGGAATCAGGGAATGGGTATCTTTATTTCTAGCACTTAACTCAGTGCCAGGCAAACAGAGTTAGTGCTGAGAAAATATTTGTTGAATGCTTCAGTGTGTAGATGAAGAAATGAATGAACTCATTTTTTATTCTCTCCTTAATATTTATTGCTTCTACAAATCATTTTATCTCTTAAGTAACCTTTTTGTTATTTCTAACAACTATGTCTGAAATAAAGAAATGTCACTTTATTAATATTTTAGATTTATCCATAGGATAATGAATTGATGACAGTTTAAGTACATGTGTGCATGTCCTTAATCTCTGTTGATCATCCTGGTTTTAACTTGTGTCTTACAGAGAAAACAGACATGAGAGGAATCTCGTTTAAATTACAGTACAAGGAATTTAGATCAGACAAAGAGTTTCCAGAAATTAAAGTACCAGATATTGAAGTGATTTGTAAGTAATATATTGATTTGTTTTTGTTTTTGTTTTTGGAGCGTTAAAGAAGTGTGGTGTGGATAGAGGGTTACGAATTGTGAACTGGTTCACAAACATTGCCCTTAGTAGAATAAAAAACCTACGGGAAGAAAAATCGATTTAGTACTATTCAGATGCAACCATATTCATAGATAGATGCTTAAAAATAGTTAGATACTTTTTTGGTTTTGTGTGTACATTTGTTCTTGAAATTTTCAGCTAACAAGGGAACTATGCAGGTGGCAGGTGTCCTTACCTTTCCAGAATGGCTCTGGTTTAGGTGACTAGCAGAATATATGAGAAATCTCCCTCCTTAGCTTATTTTTTTTAAAATTCTTTTTCCTTAGAATAACATAAATACAATGAAAAATCCTTAGCACTTTTTCGAATAATCCAAAAACTAATGCGTATCAACAAAAAAAGACCTACTCAATAGTTTGAGAATAGCACAGCAAGACCACTGACACAAAGAACAGGTTTTTCAATGCCATTCTCTTGATTGCTTTAATGTAATTAAATATGGCAGTTAGCTATGCCCAAAATTTAGAGTTATATTACTAAACTTCTAACTATAGATATTCTGTTTTGGCTATAGTTGAACAGAACTTCTGTAGTGTATAGGCCAAATTCACCCTCAGTGCTAGTGAACTGAAAGAGCAAATAAACCTTTCTGAGCACCAAATTTATAATCATACTTATGAATAGAGTTCAGTGTTCTCTTTGCTTGTTGGTCTGCAAGAATCATATTGGAATAATTTAGGATAGTTTTACTAAATTTATTAATGTAACTCTTGTTATGAGGATGGTGCTTAAGTTTTAGGAATCTGTGCTTATAGTGCAAAAGGCTTCTTTGTGATTTAAGAGACAGATTTTACTGATAGTGATAATATAATAATACCTTGTCTTTTTAAACACTATATATTTTTCTAAATGTCTTCATAGCCCAAAATTATTTTTCTGTTTTCACAATACTTATGTGAAATAGGTGTCCTAATCTTATAAATGAGGACATGAGGGACAGAAAGGTTGACCAACTGTCAAAGGCATAGAACATTGTTTTAAGATAAATCATCATTATCAGTTCAATAGCTAATGTTTACTAAGTGCTTACTATATGCTAGGCACTATTTAAAGCTTTTTACATGTATTAATTATTAAGAGTCAGATCTGGATTTAATTCTGCCTCTTCCTCTTATCAGCTGTTGATCTTGGGAAAGCTACTAAGCTCTTCATGGCTTGGTTCCTCATTTGGAACATGGAGTTTATGGTAGTGCTTACCTTTTAGGGTGACTGTGGATTGAGATAATCCAAATAAATGTGTGTCTGTCATACTCTTAGGGCTATAAAAATCAAGTTACTATTGAAAAATAAGGTGCTAGTAGATAGTATTCCATATAATTTTTAGCTTCTTGATGAATGTTCTATTAAAATCATTGTATTCTTCAATATAAAATGATAGTAAATGCTGCTATATGTAACTATAGAAAAACATCCATGTTACAACAGGATCATAGCTCCATGTAGAAGCTATTGCTACCTTTTCCCTTTCACTATTTCCCAGCCACCTTTTGGTTCTAAGCCTTTTCCTAGTGGGAAGAAACTGAAGGGAGCTAAGTAGTCATGGAGAGCATCTAAGGTGTCTCCAAAATTGGTGGCAGGACACTTGCAATCCACTGCATTGTGTTCATTCCAGAAGTATTGTGGTATATCAGTTATTTGGAAACTCAAACGTGTTTTCTTGTAGAAATTGTCCTTTTAAGTAAGGCACATACACTCTTTTAATCCCAGTTACAGCTAACATGCTGGATAACAAAAACTCCATAGTCCTTTGGCAGTGCTAATAATCAAGGTATTTAAAACAATAAAATAATATATATTGATCCTCACAAAGAGGTCCAGAGAGGAATCTGGGAAGACAATGCAATAGGAAACATCAGGATATATGTCTCTCCACCTAGACGGCAATTGCACTGCCAGAATCTGATGTGATTGTCCTGGAACTCTGTGGTTGTTGAACAATTTGCAGCTTCCCAGAGAAAAGGCTTAGATGTAAAATTGCACTTGATTTTAGTCAGCTTCAGCTTTTAACACAGTAGCATCTACTCCCAGCCTTGGACATCTTATGCACAGCTTGTAGGATTCAGGAGAGGACAAAAGGACCCTCTTTTCCAAATATCAGAGACCTGTGCTTGGATCACCAATTGCTGCTTTTGATAACAGAGGTGTAGACCAAGAGGTGGGCAGCCACTGATGTTGCACCTCCCCATTGTTGCAAGCACCTTCCTCTTCAGCTAAAATGACTTCTAAGATATTTAAAGGTCTACCACCTTCTTGCCTCATTAATTTTTCTCCTTTTCCCCTTTTTGGGAGTCGGAAATTAAAGACTAGGACATTCAAAAACAATTGTACATACAGGAAAATTTAGTGCAACCAGCAAAAGGCTCAGAAAAGACCTGAGAACACCTTAGGTTTATACCTCAGACTGACAGTTGGTACAGAGACATCCTACAACAATCAAAAAAATAAAACTAACAAAATACAGCAGACACTGGGGAAGGGGGAGACTCTTGAGTTCAATAGTTACACCATTATTAGATTCATATGTCCAGTTTTCAACAATAAAAACATTATAAAACATGCATAGAAATACAAAAGTATGGCCCATTCAAAGGGGGGAAATCAATAGAAACTGCTCCTGAAAAAGACTTGATGGCAGATATATTACACAAAGACTTTAAAACAACTGTCTTAAAGATACTCAGAGGACTAAAAAAAATGTGGAAAAAGTCAAGAAAATGATGTATAAATAAAGGAAATATCAGTGAAGAGGTAGAAAACATTAAAAGGAACCAAAAAGAAGCTCTGGATTTGAAAAGTACAATAATTAAAATTTAAAAATCAGTAGAAGGATTCAAAGTCTGGTGTAAGTAGGCAGAACAAAGAATCAACAAAATTGAAACTAGGACAATGGAAATGATCAAGTCTGAGGAACAGAAAGAAAACAGATTGAAGAAAAATGAACAGAGCCTTAGGGATCTGTGGGACACCTTCAAGTGAACTAACATACATATTGTGGGAGTTCTAGAAGGGGAACACAGAGAAAGGGGCAGAGAAAGTATTTGATGAGACACATAGGTATAAACATCCAAGGAGCTTATTGTACTTCAGGTATACCCAGAGACAAACACCAAGACACATTATAGTCCAATTCCCAGAAACCAAAGACAGGAATCTTGAAAGTAGCAAGAGAGGAGCAAATTATTGTTGTTGTATATACACTGTACATACAAGGGATCCTCAATAAGATTAATACCAAATTGCTCATCAGAAACTTTGGAGGCTAGATGGCAGTGGACATACACATTGAAAGTGTTAAAAGACCACCCCCTGCAAATCCCAACAACCAATAAAACACCTTTCAACCAAACAATCCTATATTTGAAAAACTGTCCTTCAAAAATGAGGGAGAAATGAAGACATTGCTAGATAAACAAAAGCCAGGGGAGTGTTTTACCACCAGATCTGCTCTGTAAGAAATGCACTCCCTAAGAAAGAGAAGCCTGCAAGGTGAAAAAACAAAAGGACATTAGACAGTAACCTGAAGCCCTGTGGAGGAATAAAGGCCTCACTAAAGGTAAATACAAGGGAATTTTAAATGCTAGTACTATTATATCAAAGATTTGTAGCTGCATTTTTGTTCTGATTTAGCATTTAAGAGACTAGTACATTTGAAGAAAAACTGACTTATCTAAAAGGTAGTATTTAAACTTTAGTTTTTCACTATTTTCTATATAATTTAAGAGACGAATACTTTAAAAGAATTCTTTATGTTTTTGGGTACACTGCATAAAGGTGTAGTTTTGTGATATCAATAATTGAAAGGAGTGAGGACAAAGCTATAAAGATGCAGGTTTTGTATATTAATGATATTAAGCTGGTATAAATTCAGATTGTATTGTTATAACTTCAGATTGTGAAATGTAATCCCCATGGTGACTACAAAGAAAACAGCTATAGAATGTATGCAAGAGGAAATGAAAGACAAAAAAGCTTAAGGCAAACGGAAGACAAATAGCAAAACAACAAATAAGTCCTTCCTTGTTAGTAATTACTTTTTTTTTAAATTTTATTTATTTATTTTTAGAGAGGGAAGTGGGGGGCAGAGAGAGAGAGAGAGAGAAACATACATCATTGTGCGGTTGCTGGGGGTCATGGCCTGCAACCCAGGCATGTACCCTGACTGGGAATCGAACCTGCGACACTTTGGTTCGCAGCCTGCGCTCAATCCACTGAGCTATGCCAGCCAGGGCTATTAGTAATTACTTTAAATGTAAATAGATTAAACTCTCCAATCAGAAGACAGATATGCAGAATGTATAAAAACATGATCCGCCTATGTGCTGTCTATAGAAGATTCACTTGAGATCTAGACACACGTAGATTGAAAGGAAAAATATAGAAAAAGATATGTGCAAAAAGTAACCAAGAGAGAGGAGGGGTGACTATACTAATATCGTACAAGAAAGACTTTTATAAAGTTACAAGAGGTGATGAACATTATTTATGAACATTATTATTTTACAAAATACTTATAAACTATTTGGTAGAGCAAGAAAATAGAACAATTATAAACATTCATGTGCTTAATGACAGGTCATCAAAATATACAAAGCAAAAAATGACAGAAGTAAAGGGAGAAATAGTTCTATAATAATAGTTGTAGACTTTAATACTCTACTCACAATAATGGATAGGTAACCAGACAGAACACTCTACCCAACAATGACAGCATAAACATTTTTTTCAAGTACACATGGGACATTTTCCAGGATAGACCATATGTTAGGCCACAAATTAAGTCCATAGCCTTTAAAAGGTAGCTATCTTACAAATACAAAGTATTTTATATACAGCCGTAAGGGGATAAAGTTAGAAATCAACAACGGAAGAAAAACTGGAAAATTTACAAAATTGTGAATGTTAAACAACATACTTTGAAACAACCAGTGTATCAAATATGAAATCACAGGGGAAATCAATGCAACCAAAAGTTGGTTCTTTGAAAAATTCAACAAAGCTAGCAGATTCTGGTTAGATGAATTATGGAAAAAAAGAGGGAATACTCAAATTACTTAAATCAGAAATGAAAGTAGAATATTACTACTGATTCTGCCAAAATAAAAAGGATTATAAGAGAGTACTGTGAACAGTTATACACCAACAAATTAAATAACCTAGATAACAAGGAAAAATTCCTAGAAACACTAAACCTACCAAGACTGAATCTCAAAGAATTAGAAAATCTGAGTAGACCTATAACTAGCAAAGAGATTGAATCAGTAATTGAAAATCCCCTGACTAGAAAAGCCCTGGCTTCACTGATGAATTCTGCCAAACATTTAAAGAACTAGTATCAATCCTCAAACTTTTCCAAAATATTGAAGATGAGGGAACACTTCCTTGAATGGTCTTGAATGTGCACTTCTTCAGAGAAGATGAGCAAACAACCGATAAGCACATGTAAAGATGCTGAACATCACTAATAATTAGGGAAATGGAAATCAAAACTACAATGAGATACCACCTCACACCTGTTAGAGTGGCTGATACCAGAAACAGAAAACAAATGTACCGAGGATGTGAAGAAATTGGAACCCTTGTGCATTGCTGGTGAAAATGTAAATTGTGTAGCTGCTGCCGAAATGAGTATGATCTTTCTCAGAATATTATCAGAGTTACCATATGGTCTCATAATAGAATTAAATACCCAGAAGCAATACTATTTCTGTGTCTATATCCAAGAGAATTGAAAAGAGGGTCTCCCAAGACATACTTTATATGTTTGTGTTTGTAGCATTATTCACAGTAGCCAAAAGATGGATGAATGTCCAACAGATGAATAGATAAGCAAAATTTGGTATATACATACAATGAGATATAATTCAGACTTGAAAAGGAAAAATTTTGACATGTGCTACAACATAAATGAACTCTATAAGGACATTAAGCTAGGTTAAATAAAGCAAGCACAGAAAGATAAATATTGTATGACCTCACTTATATGAGGTACATAGAGCAGTCAAACGTATACAAACAAAAAGTAGAATGGTGGTTGCTAGGATTTGGGGAGAGGAGAAGTGAGTTGTTTAATGGGTAGAGTTTCAGTTTTGCAAGATGAAGTAGTTTTGGATGTTGGCTGCACAACAATATTGAATATATTTACAGTACTGAAATGTATACTAAAAAGTGGGAACGTGGCAAATTTTATGTTGTGTGCATTATACTACAATAAAAAAATTGGACAAAGGGAAAAAAAGAGGCCTGAAGGTGGGAAAGAATAAAAAGTTTTCAGAGATTCTAGTGGAGGCTTTTTAATGTCTTCAAGGGCTTATAGATTGGTACAGTGATTCTTTAATATGTTTCATTTCAAGAATTAGGACTTTTACTTGGTAGAGTGGTATAGACAGATCTCTCTTATCTCTTTAATTATATTGACTGATTGAAGTCATTTCAGGATGGATGTTATGGGATGCTTCTAAGTGGAGTCAATAAAGAGGAAGAGAGATTTTCTGAGTTGATTGGCTAACCTTAGAGAGATGGACAAATAGAATATGTATTCATATAAAAACAATGGGTTATGGTAGAATTAACTGGACAGTTTTACAAGCCAGAGACAAAGCATGATGTGTGTTTAGTTTCTGGAGAAAAGAGTGTGCAAAGGAAGAGGCACTGGGTTGCTGCCCACCCTAATGTGGGGTGTGGCACCACTTTATGAGGGGAGCGAGCAAACACCTGCTGAGCAGCTGATTGTATAGATAAGTTTGAAATCCAGAATTGAAATGTTTGATTGAGTATGGGTTCATGGTTTTGGGAATGCTCATTTTGGATATCAATCATACTTGTTAACTCTAATTAATATATATAAATTAAAGTGAGAGTGTTCACAAAACCTCTAACATAATGCCTCACGTAGTATAGCAGTAAATTTTAGTGCCCGTGTTTGAGGGAGTTTAATTTTTCTCTGTGCTATAAAATGTGAATAAATGGACCAGAAAATTTTCAAAAGTATATTGAAATCTCTTGAAACTTGATTGTACCAGATTGCTATAACTTACAAGTAGATTGTCCTGTGAGTCTATGGTGTGTTCGTTCATATGGACTGTTCAGTGATGACTAACTCCTGATTTGGCTCTGGGGGATCTTATAGAATAGGAAGATACAGAGCAGGGGATTCTAAAGAGAGTCAGCTCTGTGGAGGGGTGATGTTGAGGTTTAAGAAAAGTGACTGGAGGTGGAAATTTAGCCTAACACTGGCTAAAACAGCTTTTAGAGCTGGAAAGTAATCTTGGGTGATTTAGTCTAACTTCTCATTTTGTGGCTGAGGAGAAGTATAGGAGAAGTCATAGCTATAATTGAGAAAGCACAGTCACTGGCTTCTAAAAGTCCTGCTATCCAAACAGCATAGAATTCACTATTGCATTTTTACTCTTTCTTTTGAAAAGGCCATATTAATGATAACATCTACATATCACATTAATTTTTAAAATATAGCTTCTATATTAAATAATTTTAATCAAATTTTACATGGAGTTTAAATAGATAATTTCAACTAACAGTGCTGCTAGAAGTTTCATAAGGACAATTATTATTTTAAAGGAAATAAGAAATTCTCATAATTTTTTTTAGGTTAAGTCATCAAACAAAGGAAACATGGTATTTTGAAGTATGATTAAACTTCTGATGCTGCAGCAGAGGCTAAGAATATTAATGGCCAGATCTAGGTAAGTTGAATTTTACCTTCAAAAAAATCATTAAGTCCACAAATTACATTTTTTAAACAAGAGATTTTGATAATATTTTCTTCCTTAATTTTAATTTTTCAATAGCAGTTCACATTCAGTATTATTTTATATTAGTTTCAGATGTACAGCATCTTGGCTAGACAATAATAGACTTCATAAAGTGTTCCTCCTGATATTTCCAGTATCCAACTGGTACTATACAGTTATTACAATATTATGTACTGCATTCCCTATGCTGTACTATACATCCCCATGACTGTTTTGTAACCACCAATTTGTGTTTCTTCACTCCTTCACTACTTTTACCCAGTCCCCTAGCCCCCTTCCCCTCTGGCAACTACCAGTCCACTGTCTGTGTCTATGAGTCTGTTTCAATTTTGTTTGTTTATTTTGGTCTTCAGATTCCATATATAAGTGAAATCATATGATATTTGTCTTTCTCTGATTGACTTATTTCACTGAGCATAATACCCTCTAGATCCATCCTTGCTGTTACAAATGGTAAGATTTCATTCTTTTTTTATGGCTAATATTTCATTGTATATATGTACTGCAGCTTTTTTTATCAACTTGTCTGTTGATGGACACTTGAGTTGCTTACATATCTTGACTGTCATAAATAATGCTGCAGTGAACATGAGGTGCATACATTCTTTTGTATTAGTGATTTAGGTTTAGGATAAACCTAAACTTTTCTTTTATCCTAAACCTAAATCACTAACTTAGGTAGGTTCTGGGGTTTGGATAAAACCCCAGAATTGGAATCACTGGGTCATAAGGCAGTTCCATTTTTAATGTTTTGAGGAAGCTGTATACTGTTTTCCATAGTGGCTGCACTAGTCTGAATTCGCAGGGCACGAGAGTTCTCTTTTCTACACATCCTCGTCAGTATCTGTTGTTTGTTCATTTATTCATGATAGCCATTCTTTTTTTTTTTTTTCTTTTCTGATGATTGCCATTCTGACAGGTGTGAGGTGACTTCTCATTGTGGTTTTAATATGCATTTCTCTGACTATTAGTGACGTTGAGCATCTTTTCATATGTCTATTGGCCATCTGTATGTCCTCTTTGGAGACAAGTCTCTTCAGTCCTCTGCCCATTTTTTAACTGGATTGTTTGATTTTTTGTTGTTGAATTGTATTAGTAAGTCATCAAACAAAGAAAACATGCTATTATTTTGGATATACATTTTGAATATAGCCCCTTAATCAGATGTATTATGTTCTCCAATTTAATGGGTTGTCTTTTTGTTTTGTTGATAGTTTCCTTTGCTGTGCAAAAACTAGTTTGATGTAGTCCCATTATTTTTTCTTTTGTTTCCCTTGCCCAAGGAGATATATTGGAAAAAATATTGCTAAGAGAAGTGTTTGAGATTTTACAGCCTATAGAATTTCTTCTAGAATTTTTATGGTTTTGAGTCTTACATTGAAGTTTTTAATCCATTTTGAGTTTATTTTTGTATATGGTGTAAGAGAGTGGTCTAGTTTCATTCTTTCCACGTATCTGTCCAATTACTCCGCACCATTTATTGAATAGACTATCTTTACCCCATTGTATGTTTTTCCTTCCTTTGTCAAATATTAATTGACAGTATAGTTGTGGGTTTATTTCTGGGCTTTCATTTTTTTTTTTTTAAGATTTTACTTACGTATTTTTAGAGAGAAAGACGGAGAGAAATATCAATCAGTTGCCTCTTGTACCCAGTCTTGGGACTGAACCTGCAACCTAGGCATGTGCCCTGACTGGGAATTGAACTGGTGACCTTCCGGTTTGCAGGATGACACCCAATGAACTGAGCCACTCCATTCTGGGCTATTTCTGGACTTTCTATTGTGTTCCATTGCTCTATATGTCTGTGTTTATGCCAGTGCCATGCTGTTTTGTTTACTATGGCCTTGTATAGTTTGATATCAGGTAATATACCTTCAACTTTGTTCTTCTTTCTCAATATTGCAGAGGCTTTTCGGGGGGATTTTTTGTGGTTCTAGATAAATTTCCAAATTATTGGTCCTAATTCTGTGAAATAGGCCATTGTTATTTTGAGGAATTGTGTTCAATGTATATAGATTGTTTTGGGTGGTATGGACATTTTAATGATGTTAATCCTTCCTATGCAAGAACATGGTATATGCTTCCATTTATTTGTGTCTTTGGATTCTTTCTTCAGTGTCTTATAATTTTTCAAATGCAGGTCTTTTACCTCCTTGTTTAAATTTATTCCTAGGTATTTTATTAACTACTGATACAATGTAAATGGAATTTCTTTTTAGTTTCTCTTTCTAATAGTTTATTATTGGTGTATAAAAATGCAACCAGTTTCTGAATATTAATTTTGCATCCTGCTATTTTTCTGAATTCATTTATCAGCTCTAGTAGTTTGGTGGAGTCTTTAGGGTTCTGTGTATACAATATCATGTCATCTGCCAATAATGACAGTTCTACTTCCTTTCCAGTTTGGATGTCATTTATTTCTTTGTGTCTAATTGCTCTGACAAGGGCTTCCAGTGCTTGTGTGCAGTAAGAATAATGAGAGCAGATATCCTTGTCTTGTTTTCTACCTTAACGGAATGCTTTTAGTTTTCCCCATTAAGTATGATGTTGGCTATGTGTTATATATGGCCTTTAATACATTTAGGTAGGTTCTCTCTACTTCCACTTTGCAGAGAGTTTTTATCATTAATTGGTACTGGATTTTTTAAAAAAATGCTTTTTCTGCATCTGTTGATATGAACATGTGATTTTTATCCTTTATTTTATTTATGTGGTGTATCACATTAATTGATTGGCAGGTATTATACCAACCTTATATCCCAGGAAGAAATCCCACTCTTATAATGGCGTGTGATCTTTTTTGTGTATTGCTGGAATAGGTTTGCTGATGCTTTGTTGAGGATATTTGCATTTGTATTCATCAAGGATATTGGTGTATGATTTTCTTTCTTTGTAGTGTCTTTATCTGGTTTTGGAATTAGGATAATGCAGGACTCACAAAATGAGCTTGGGAGTCTTCCCTGCTCTTGAAATTCTTGGAATAGTTTGAGAATGAATGGTGTTAGTTCTTTTTTTAGTATTGGTAAAATTCTTCTGTGAATGCATCCAGTCCAGGACTTGTGCTTGCTGGGAGTTTTTTAATTACTGCTTTGATATCATTAGTTGTAATTGTTGTGTTCCTATTTTCTGATTTTTCTTGATACAATTTTGAAAGATTGTATATTTCTAGGAGTTTATCTATTTTTTCCAGATTGTCCAATTAGTTTGTAATATATTCTTATAGTTCTTTGTGTTTCTGTGGTTTCTATTGTTACTTCTTTCATTTCTGATTTTATTCATTTGGGTCCTCTCTCTTTTTTTCTTGATGAGTCTGGTTAAAGCTGTATCAATCTTGTTTATACCTTCTCAAAGAATCTGCTCTTGGTTTCATTGATCTTCTGTACTGGTTTTTTGTGGTTTTTTTTTTTTTTTGGTCTCTATTTTGTTTATTTCCACTCTGATCTTTATTACTTTCTTCCTTCTACTTACTTTGTCCTTTTTCTAGTTCTTTTAGGTATAAGGTTAGATTGTTTATTTAGATTTTTCTTGCTTCTTGAGGTAGTCCTGTGTTGCTATGAATTTCTCTCTTACGACTGCTTTTTTTCTATGTCCCACAGAATTTGGGTAGTTGTGTGTTTATTTTCATTTGTCTCAGGGTAACTCGATTTCTTCCTCACTTTCATTTTAGCCCATTCATTGCTTAATGACATGTTATTTCACCACCATGTGTTTGTGTGTTTATGAGTTTTTTTTCTTGTAATTGATTTCTAGTTTTATACCGTTGTGGTTGGAGAAGATGCTTGATACGATCACTGTCTTATTTCTTGAGACTTATTTTGTGTCCTAACATGTGTTTTATTTTAGAAAGTGTTCCTTGTGCACTTGTAATGAATGTATGTATCTTGCTGCTTTGGGGTGAAATGCTCAAAAATTATCAGTTAAATACATCTGGTCTAGTGTGTCATTTAAGGTTGCTGTTTTCTTGTTGATTTTTGTCTGGAAAATCTATCCATTGATGTCAGTGGGGGTTAAAATTTCCTAAGACTATATTAATGTCAGTCTCTTTCTTAATAATGTTTTCTTGAATGTAATCATTTTGCCTGCTGATTTGCTGTCACCTCCCACCCTGAAAGGATAAGGACAAATGGCTTTAATTAAACTAAGATAGTGTTTACTAATTTAAAATATTCAACAAACAGTTGCAATATTGAGCCTCCCAAGCAGTTAGGTACCTTTTGTTCTTGAATGTACCCTAGTTAATTTCTTTAGTTGCTTTCTTAAGGGAACATCCTAAGTCTCCTTGTATTTTTGCTGAATTATGAACTTGGCATTGTGAGATGATGAAGTCACATGGTTTCTCATCAAGTGTTTACAGTATTAGTGCATATTATTAGGTCTTACATAACTCAAATGTGGTCCCCAAATATTAGTCTGATGGTCATAAGTTAAGAATATCTAGTATCTTGCCTTTCTCCTTGCCTAGGAGTTGGTGGATCAGGAAGAGGAACTAGAGATATGGACGAAAACTCCACATTTAAAGAAATCCTCTTTTATATTGAAAATTGAGCACAACTGCCTATTGTTTCAGCTAATGTAATTTCTCACTCATACTAAACCTGTTCTTCAACCCCACTGAAGCCTCCTGTTTCTTTTTGCCTGCATTTTCTCCCATTGTGTCAGCCTTCTTCTTTACTTCTTTCCTGACCAGACCCGATGATCCATAACTTCAGAAACTCTCCCCAACCCCCTACCCCTGGGGGGGTATCCTTTAATTTTCTTGTCCTCTTACTCTCTGATCCGGGGTCATTGAACTTTCTATCCTCTGGACTGCTGAGCACAGCTAGACAAACAGCATTGCTTTACAGCCTCTCTGAGCTCTCACTCAGCACAGCCTACTTAGTAAATCCTGCAGTCTGTCTTGGTCAGCTCCTCAGTGAATAATCCTTTCATTCTCTTCATTCTGCACACTTGCTTTCTATTTTGCAAAGGAAATTTAGGATGATGTTGATCTTCAGCTTCTCCACTGTGCTCCATACGTCCTTGTTTTCTTCCCTTTCCTTACAGAGGATGAGGCATTTCTCCTCCTCTGGTCCAGTGTCTCAGTCTGGACCCTAGAACTCATCTTCTTTAGTCTTTCCCTCTGTCTCGATCCATGCTTTGTTCCCTTTCTCTTTTCTTTGTCTCCCCCCCGTATTTTAAAGCCTTTCCTGACCTGTTGATTACAAATCTGCATAAGTATCATCTTAAAACAGTAAGTAACTGAAGTATCATATTTTCTTTTGAAACCCTGTCTGTCCATACCCTAGTGCTGTACTCTTTACTTCCTCAGCTTGTTCTTGAAAGAGGAGTTAACATTCTCTGGGGGCTACTTCCTTATCTTTCATCTGCTCACTGCAGTTTGGCTTCTGCCTCTGCTGCTCTAAGGATGGAACACTCTCTCTCTTGACCCTGTTTTTTCTTAATTTGTACTGTTCTGATCTTTTTATTTTTCTTCACTTGCTTCTCTCGACTTCAATGCTTATGTATTTATATTTCTCAGGATTTCAATCTCGGACCACTTTATATACCTTGAGCAGGGTCTTCTGTTTTGTATCTTGGAAAAAAAAGATTTTATTTATTTATTTATTTTTAGAGAGAGGGGAAGGGAGGGAGAAAGAAAGGGAGAGAAACATCAGTGTGTGGTTGCCTCTTGCGCACACCCTCCTGGGGACCTGGCCTGCAACCCAGGCATGTGCCCTGACTGGGAATTGAACCAGCAACTCTTTGGTTCCTAGTCTGGCCTTCAATCCACTGAGCCACACCATCCAGTGCTGTTTGTAGCTTTAAATACCACACGTGTTCCAATATTTTACCTGCTTCAACTCATACTCATGTACTTAATTCTTTATTGAGTATCTCCATCTTATTGTTCTCTAGAATCTCAGTTTAGCATGTCTAAAACTGAATTAATCACCATTACTTCCCATTGAAAACACCAGTTTTTCCTCTCAGGCAATGGAGCCAGCACCTTTCACCTGCTACCCTGGCAACTGCCTCTGCTCTCCCTTGTACCTAGCCAGCCACTCAGTGCCACTGACTTGTTTTCATAAATGTTTCTTAAATTCATCTTTTCATTTCTACCCCCACTGTTGCTGTGCTGGTTTTAGGTCTCTAGCATATTTCTTTTTTAAAGTGGTCTCTAACTGGTTTCCCTTCTTCTGAGGTAAACCTTAACTCAAATTTATGCTGCAGATGTATTTATAATGAAGTCCTACAAGGCTTTTGTATCACATGGTAGGCTTTCATTAATTATGGTTGTATTGAAATACTCAGTGTCCACAGCGTCCGAAAGTAGGTTGCACCACCACTCAAATATCCCTGCCAACACGTGACGGGCTGCCTTAAGTGGTCTGTGAAGATGGCAAGTGGAAGAATGATTTTTCTACTCCTTTTGAGAAATAGTTTTAAAATATACCTTTGAAATTCCATCTTTTGAAGCCAAAGCTACACTGAAATAATCTTTTAGGTCTTTATATTCATGAAGAGGTTGGTGGGGAAGATGAACATGTCATTTCAAGAAACTTTGTTTGTTTATCAATTATCCTTGTGCTTTACCAAGTTTTAGCCCTGGATGGTATGACTCAGTGGATTGAGTGTTGGCTTGTGAACCAAAAGTTCACTGGTTCGATTCCTGGTCAGAGCACATGCCTGGGTTGAGGGTTAGGTCCCCATTTGGGGGCGTGTGAGAGGCAACCAGTCCATGTCTCTCTTGCACATCATGTTTCTCTCCCTCTTTTCCCCTTTCTCTAAAAATAAATAAATAAAATCTTTAAAAAGTTTTAAGAATACTTTTTGCCTCTTTCTCATCCTGTAATTTATTAAACATTTATTAATTTTTTAAAATTAAACATTATGGACTAGCTGCTATGCAAGCAGTATGATTAGTGTCCTAGAAAATTAGGAAGACAAGGCTCTTGTCTTCAGGGAGATCACAGTGAAGTGGGTGGTAAGACATAAATATTACAGTAGAATAAGTAAATACCATGATAGAGTCATATCCATTTGACTGTGAGGACACTGGATGCAGGCCAGCTTCACGTTGGTGGTGTCCCATTCCCCTCCCTTGTTCAGGGTGCTTTCTGGTTTGGCCCCTTCTTGTGTTGTGGCCTACCCTCAACTCTGGTTGTCCTGGGCGCCTTACTTTCTCCTGAATGCAGTGCAACCAGCCTTTCATAACCTTTGTCTTTGCACATTCTCTTTTATCCATGTCAAGTACTCATTTCTATTTCTTGCCTAGTACACTGTTTCTGCTCACCTTTTTAAGCACCAGCTTAAATGGTGCTTCCCTGCCCTGCCTGACCCACAAAGTTAGTCACTCCATTTTCTGTACCCACAGACCTTTCCTCATATTCTAATATAAGGTTTATCATAATGTATTATCTGTTTACATATCTGTCTTTCCCTTTAGACTCATGATTCTTTAGAGTTACATACTGTGACTTAATCATCTCTGTGCCATGATATTTAGTTGGCATATTAGAGCAAAAGACTAAAATGAGTCTTAATTAATTTTACCATTTTATTTTTTACTTTTTTGATATATACTAGTATACTTTTTCATCTTAATAATTGTACCTGTTAGCCACTCTTTTTACCTTTGCTTACTACAGTTCATTCAGCTTACAAGAGACTTAGAGCGTCAACTGTGTGCTGGGTGTTGTGTTCAGCGTGGGCAGTGCAAAAATGAGTAAGGTTCATGCCTGTTGGAAAGGAGCCCATAGTGGAGGGTAGGAGATAAGTAAACAAACAATCTACCACAGTTTCTGCTAAGGTAGTCAGTGTGAAAGATGCTGTGATTCGGGGAGCCCAGGGTGCTGTTACAAAAGAAGTGTAAGTCAGCCAGTTGGTTGGAGTTGAGTCAGAGAAGGCTTCCTGAACACACTTGGGTTGAATGTTGAGAAAGGAAAGAAGCAGAGGCAGGGCAGTGTGGAAGGGTGTGAGGGAACAAGATGCTCTGGGGAAACTGCTGAACGAGCCTGGGGAGGGCTTGGAGCAGAGAGAAGGAAGAGTTCAGACCTGTAAACAGGGACCAGGCTGGGGAGGGCCTCGTGGCAAACTGACAAGCTTTGAATTTTTCCCTGAATATAGTGAAGAGCCACTGAAGAATTTTAACCAACCTTTAATCAGATTTATGCTTTTAATGTTTAGAAGCTTCTTGTACTCCCCCCCTTTTCAAATATTGTCACATTCATTCTCTTTCCCTTGTTTGTGTGTGACATTTTACATTTTTCCTTTGTTCATTTGGTGTGTTCTTGAGAACTTAATGTCATCTGTAACCTGTGAGGAAGCAAGATTAGATAGATACACTCAGTTTTGCCAATATTTTCTTTTAAAATATTACTTGAATTTTGAATTATTTTTCTCTCTTAGTGAAATATTCCAAGTTTGTTTTTGTGTCTTATTTACCAATGAACTCTTGCCGGGTGGACTACATAAAAGATACTACAATGAGGAATAAAGAAACCTACCTAGAAGTCTAGCATCCCTCTGAAAATTATTAAAAGAGAGGTGTGAAATTCCTGATAAGCCATAAGACGTTAATTTCATGAATGACTTTATTTAAATAGTACTACATATGAGACCTTAAATTGGCTTGCTTTTTAAGATAATTTTAAAATAAGCAGACCTTTGCAAATTAAACTGGAAACCTGAGATTTCTGTGACGTCTACGTCAGAAAATTATCATCATTGTCTCTGAGCACAGTTCACCAGTTAGTTGCATGAAATCCATCTCCAGCCATATACTTTCTTGGGCTTAATTTTCCTCATCAAAATAATGCAGAGTTTGTGCTAGATGATTTCTAAAACCTTTTTTATGTTATGATTTTCTATGTCTAATAATTTTTTCTAAATTATCTTTCATGTAGTGCTCACATGGTCTTCTGAAAGAAGCCATGGGTAGCTGTTGTAGCTGTCCAGGTAAAGACACTGTCCCAGATAACCATCGGAACAAGTTTAAGGTCAGTACAGCTGCTTGAATTACTTACTGCCCACCTGCACATTCTTTTACTTCACTTAATATATCTTTTCACTTGTACCCCCCGACCCTTTTACTTCCTTTTTTATTCATTCTGCCTTTTCTTATTTTAACAAATGATGATGACATTTTCTTGCTGACAATGTGGAATATTCTTTTGCTTTCCCTTTGGTCCTCTATATTCAGTTAACCACACTGTTCTGGTATCATTTTATTTAAAATGCTATTTTATGTGTTCCTCTTTAGTCATCGATTCTACCTCCAGTCATTGCTTCATGCCTGGATAATTTCTTAACTGGACTCTACCTTGAGTCACCACTGCAATCCATCCTGCAGTTGACATCAAATTAATCTTCCTCTTTCATCATTCTGAAACTTGTGGTGTTCTGTTACCTAGAGGCTAACCGCTCCATTCCTTACTCATCCACAGCTATTTTGTCTCTTGTAGTCTTGCTTAGTCTGCTATGAATCATAGCCTCTGGATCTTGCAAACTTAGGTGCAGATTATATAACCTCGTTGCTTCATAGCTTTGTGACCTTGGACAGGTTACATTATCACCAAGTCTTTGTTTTCAGTTTTGTAGGATGGAGAAAACAGTATTACCTAGTTTAGGAGTGTCATGAGGATTAAATATAGAAAATATGTGTAAAATACTTTGCCTGGTTACAGGGGTATAGTGAGTTCTCTCTAAGTGATATCTATTCATGGTCTCTGGCCATTTTCTGGAACTTAGTAGTACAGGGCCTTATCTTAACATGAACTTATCTCCCCAGTGGGAATGTGAATTCCTTGATGCTTTGAACTATGTATTATATTGCTACATAGTCCTACACACACATTGGTTGACGAATGAACTAATAAAGGAGCGAGTAACTGAATCAGTCAGCAATTGATGAGATATGAGTATGACTGTCGAGTTGAAGTGTTAGGCTAGCACTAATTAAACTTTCTTTTTTTAGGTCATTAATGTGGATGATGATGGGAATGAGTTAGGTTCTGGCATAATGGAACTTACAGACACAGAACTGATTTTATACACTCGTAAACGTGACTCAGTAAAATGGCACTACCTCTGCCTGCGACGCTATGGCTATGACTCAAATCTCTTTTCTTTTGAAAGTGGTCGACGATGTCAAACGGGACAAGGTAGGTAGAGCCTTTAATTTTTTCTACAAACCTTGTCACATTTGAAATACTCTTCTTTCTGTTATTCTACTTTCTCCTGATAGAAAAAAAATACCCAAATAAATGCCTTAAGAAAAGAGATATAGTAAACTATGCATTTGTTTAGCAAGCATTTATTAAGCACATTCTCTATGTATAGAATTGTGACCCATATCAGCTTTAACATTTTCAGTAAATAATTAGTCCTAGTAAATTGACTGTGTGTTTTTACTGTTATAACTTGCTGGGAAAAGACCCTAAATTTTGGAGTCAAACAGTACGTACTTTGATTATTTTGCTACCTACAATTTGAAAGGCCTTGAGTAAGTTACCTCTGCCAAGCATCAAATTTTTTTCACCTCCATCAGAAGTGAGTGATAATCCCTGCCTTACAGAATTATAATAATAATTAAACACAGTGACAGAGCCAGGCCTGTCAAATGGTGTAGGATCACCTTGGTAATGGTGAGTTGGGCGCCCCCTGCTGTTAAAAGCAGATTGAAGTAAGTGCGAATCTTGTTTTCATCTGCTTTATTTTGAGCCATCTCCCTTAGACATATGAAGACTATTCTGTGAACTTTCTTTTGGGTTTATGTTTTAAAACAGGGAATATCATTAATTTATCAGGTATTTATTTAAAACACCTTTCTTGTTTTTGGTACACAGAGTGCTTATTTTACGATTTTATTCTTTCACAGGTGCTCCTGTATCATTTTAAGATGTAACTATTGTTCCCTTCTGGTTTATATTTATAGGAATCTTTGCCTTTAAGTGTGCCCGTGCAGAAGAGTTATTTAACATGTTGCAAGAGATTATGCAAAGTAATAGTATAAATGTGGTGGAAGAGCCAGTTGTTGAAAGGAATAATCATCAGACAGAATTGGAAGTCCCTAGAACACCTCGAACACCTACAAGTAAGTATCTGTTTTCCTTCTTGTATTTTGATTTCCTTCTTGTATTTTATAAACCATAGACTATGGATATTTAATTTATAAAATGTTAGAAATCACCATTGGCTGACCTAAGTGTAATAGTTGTCGTTTTTAAAAACTGTTAGCTATAATTATAAACATGTTTAATATTTTTAATATGGTAACATTAAATGTTTTATGTTATCTAAAATACGAATGGAAAGTTGGCATGGAGGGTGTGCTGTTTGTGCTCTGGCGTCTGCTGTGTTCCTAGAAACACCTTCCTTAGTCCTGTCAGTGCAGATTGGATTCTTACTCATTTTCATTCTCTCTCCCCTGCCTCTGTTTCCTGCTTGTCTTCTTAACTCAATAAACAAACAAAAACTCAGCTCCAGGGTTTGCTGCTCAGAACTTACCTAATGGATATCCCCGATATCCCTCATTTGGAGATGCTTCATCCCACCCTTCAAGCAGACATCCTTCTGTGGGAAGTGCACGCCTGCCTTCAGTAGGTGAAGAATCTACACATCCTTTGCTTGTGGCTGAGGAACAGGTAAGCATGTGCTACACGGTCTAACAGGATAATGGCTTGTGTGGAATAAAGTGTGGAGTTGCAGATTTCAGCTTGAATTTAGCTTTCACTCTTTCTATGTGACTTTTGTAATGAAGAATCAGAGGAAATAGTGTGTATTTACCGATCTATGCTGAAATCTGTACAGATGCTGAGGGAAACTTAGCATCGCAGTAGTTTGCGGGTTCAAGATAGGAGCATCTATAGGCAAAGACAGCTATGACTAGTGGCCAGTCCCCATTGTAATAATGTCCAGTCAATTCAGAATTTATGGTACTGCTTATATTATAGTTTATAATTAGTGAACCACTAGCAGGAAGGTAGATTTTGTTGTTGGTGTTTTTATAGAATTATGCAATATTCCTGACTGTTCTGTTTTCATTTGAAGAATGAAGTATCTGGTTAAACCTTGTCTATGCATTAATTAGCTGTGTACTTATCTATTGTAAACCCCATGGTCATTATCATTAATACATTTTTGTTTTAAAATTCTTTCTTTGTATTCTTTACATAGTACATGAGTTCTTTTATTATTTACTGTAATTACATTTCCTTCAATTTTGCATTTTATTTTTGAGTTTTTCATATTTTATGGATAGACCTCTAAATGCTTTTTGTATTGTTTCCCAGAATACCATTGAGCTTTTCTTTTTCATTTTAGTGATTATTTCTTAGTAGGTAGTATTTATTTTATATCTGTGAATTTTACAGGATTCTTATTAAATCTAGTAGGGTTTATTTGTATAGTCAGATCATCTGTAAATAATGATAAATTTGTATCTTCCTTTTCAATATTTATTTATTTATTCATTCATTCATTTATTTCTGAGTCATGGCTTAATATATTCATGAGCATTTCTAGAACACCAAAATTATAATCCCTATTTGTCCCTATTTTTTTTTTTTAACAGAATGCTTTTCATGTTTCACTATCAACTATGTTAGAGTAGGCTTTCTTTTTAAAAATTTTTTTTGAAGATTTTATTTATTTATTTTTAGAGAGAGGGGAAGGGAAGAAGAGATTTACGTGAAAGTGAAATGTTGATCTTTTGCCTCTCATATGCTCCGTGACCCAGGCATGTGCCTTCCCTGGGAATTGAACCAGCGACCTTTTGCTTTGTGAGACAATGCTTAACCAACTGAGCCACACTGGTCCAGGGCAGAGTAGTTATTCTTTTATCAAATTAGGAAGCTACATTTCTATACCTTCCCTCATCTTCCCCCAACATCTTTTTATTAGTAAAAACACAGATGCAAGAGCTTCAAAGCAAGAGTATATTTAGAGAGAAAGCTAATCAATAAAGTTTACAGATGTGGTCAGGTTTCTTTTGTTTTATTTTCATTTTTTAAACAAGTTACTGATTTACTTTACTCTTTTGTTTTAGGTACATACCTATGTCAACACTACAGGTGTGCAAGAAGAGCGGAAAAATTGCGCAAGTGTGCATGTCCCATTGGAGGCAAGGATTTCTAATGCTGAAAGCAACACTCCAAAAGAAGAACCTACTAGTATTGAGGACAGGGACCCTCAGGTTCTTCTTGAACCTGAAGTAGTCAGATTTGTCTTAGGACCAACTCCTGTTCAAAAGCAATTAATGGAAAAAGAGAAACTGGAGAAAATTGGAAGAGATCAAGTCAGTGGAGGTGGTGCAAATAACACAGAGTGGGACACTGGATATGACAGTGATGAACGAAGAGATGCACCCTCTGTTAACAAACTGGTATATGAAAATATAAATGGGTTATCTATCCCTAGTGCCTCAGGGGTCAGGAGAGGTCGTCTGACATCCACCAGTACCTCAGATACCCAGAATATCAACAACTCAGCCCAGAGAAGAACTGCACTATTAAACTATGAAAATTTACCATCTTTGCCTCCTGTTTGGGAAGCCCGCAAGCTAAGTAGGGATGAAGATGACAATTTAGGACCAAAGACCCCATCTCTAAATGGCTACCATAATAATCTAGATCCAATGCATAACTATGTAAATACAGAGAATGTAACAGTGCCAGCAAGTGCTCACAAAATAGAATATTCAAGGCGTCGGGACTGTATACCGACAGTCTTTAACTTTGATATCAGACGCCCAAGTTTAGAACACAGGCAGCTCAATTACATACAGGTTGACTTGGAAGGTGGCAGTGACTCCGACAACCCTCAGACTCCAAAAACGCCTACAACTCCTCTTCCGCAGACCCCGACCAGGCGCACAGAGCTGTATGCTGTGATAGACATTGAGAAAACTGCTGCTATGTCAAATTTGCAGAAAGCACTACCACGAGATGATGGTACATCTAGGAAAACTAGACACAATAGTACTGATCTGCCCATGTGAGCCTGGAAAGCATTACATTGTTTGCACCTTTGTGAATTTTTTTAAAAATGAAGATGCAAGTGCTTCATTTTCTTTTCTAAACACTAACTCCTTTTATAGACTGATAAAAACATTTTTTTAATATTTCATGTGCTTCTTTAAAGGGAATTAATGTAGAGCAGGTACTCATTAAAAACACTAATTTCATTATACACTACTCATTACTGTACAGCAGCACTCCCATTTTCACAGTGCCTATTTAAAATGAGAGTTGAAGTGAGTGACATGCTGGTTGATTTTTATCAATATTCTGGACTTATGCATATCATTCATGCCTAAGTCATGGTTGGCATTTAAAACGTTTTATAAAGCCTCTTGATAATGTACATTGCTAACAGATAAACTCTAGGCTTTGAAAGTAATATTTGTAGATTCACTGTTCATGGTATGTGGCATCTAGCATGTAACATGAGGAATACTTTATTTCATTATTTGTAGGCTTTTTGACTTGAGCCAAACCATATGTAAAGGAAATAGAAGTACCACACTCCTTATATACCAGTCAGTTCCTTTGCCTTCAGCTTAATAGAAAGTCCTGTGTTTGTGAATATGGTTGCTGTTGGTGTGTTGAAAGGCAGGAAGAAGACAAGATTTTCTGTTTCTTCATCTCATGTTGTTATTGGAAGAGCGTGCCCAGATGTCTGAATCAGAATTACAACGGGCTCAAGAATTGGTCTCAGGTCACTTTACCCCAGAACATTTGAAAATCTGAACCATGATCTCTCGAAAGAGTCTCGCCTATGGATTATTGACGATCACATCGTTTATGGAGGCATGTGTGCCGTTAGATTGCCATTTACCTTCAGTTTTTTCCTTTGGTGTTTGGGATGTCTCATTTTTTTGCTGACTGTATTTTCCAATTTAAAATGTTTGAGTTTGTATATAGTTTTAAAATTGGATTATGTGTTTATTGTGTAGTGGCATTTTTGTCAAATTGTGGTTTTGAAGGTTCATTTGGAACTTACTGTTATTCTATAACAGGGTTGCCCTTGTCCAGTATTTATTTATATGCTGTTTACTTTTCAAGTTGATAAAAACATTCTCTCAGTTTTAAATTTTACTTGTGTCCATAGGTGATCTCTTTAGCAGCTGAGGGAAAAAAAAAGGAAGCTATTTTTAACATACAGAGTTCCCTAAAGGTACTGTGTCTTCTCTGTGGGCACCCTCCCCAGCACTTTAGCAGTGATTCCCTCAAGTCACATGGCTGCGATTGTACTTTGCCCACTGTAGTGCTCCTCAGCTCTGCTGTCCTTTCACTCATAGATGGATCTTTGATTACCCCTGATGTCAATGGAATGTTAAGATTATTGCCAGCATAGCAGGTACAGTGGAAGTCTTGTAGCAATGAGATTAGGTCATAATTTAGGATTTAAAATGAATTGAAGCTTGTGTATACTGACAAGAGGTCATATGTCCAGCTCTTGGAAAATCAAGAATGTTCCAGTTTCCTAAACATTAGAGAAGACAAGAGAAGGTAGAGTGAAAAGAAGGTTAGGTAACCTTGCAAAATATTTTACCGTTTTCTCTAAATTTGAGGAAATTTGAGATTATGATCTGGATCTACCAGATGTAACAAGGTTAAGTTAGCATGAAAGTTTCAGTCGTATAGCATCCAACCTGTTCAATAAATAACCAATTATAGGACAGTGAATGGAGTAGCATAATAATAGAATGGGACCATTATAAAGAAAATAAATTATTAAAGGTGTCTATTATTTTCAGTGCCATTGGTTTATGTGCATAGCAGAATTTCTTTTTTTTGTGAACTTGGTGCTTATTAAAGTGTTCACTGCTTTCTAGAGAGAGAGCAGTGGTGTAGGTGTGCAGTTTCCATTTTTAATATATTGTTGCATTTATGTTTTCTTCTGAGTAGATTGCTAATCGTGCCAAATTTATGTGATTTTTGTAATGTGGAATATGAATTGTGATGGAATTAGTACACATGGTTTTATCTGAAATAAGCAGTCAAGACAGAACATTAACCTCCAAATAGAAGGGCTGACCTATTTATTCATTTTGGAGGTTGGATACTTTATTTTCTTTTTCTAATTCTTTGTACCTTTCCTTCCAGATTCTAATTAGTTTTTATATTTTTTACGTAACTCCAATATAATCACTGCAGTTTATGCTTTAAATACTGTATGCTTTAAAAACAGAAATGGGACCAATTTGTCTGCTAAGAATTTGATTTTAGGTACTATGAATATTAGGAAGATGTATACATACAAGTGGTGTTAATTTCTAGATGTCTCTGGAAATCACCTGTGATCCTATTTAATAAAAAGTAATGTAGAACACTCCTTGTCCTTTGCAGTAGTCTAGTCGTGGGCATTAAGCTCCATCCTGGAAGAATGTACCTATTAGCAGGTGCATTTTAGAATGCGATATTTTATTGGGATACAATTGTGGCCATATGTTTCAGATTTTCTGAGGCAGACCTGATTTTAGATACTCTGTTCTGTTGATAGACCATGTGATCCCACTTTTCAGTTTTGGAACTCTAATCATTGTTAATATATTTTCCCAAACAGAATCCCCTTTTATCCATATAGATCAAAACTGCTTTTATCCCAGACCAGGGGTGGAAACTGATATGGGTATTGACTCTGTTTTTCTTCTTAGTGTGTTTTATATCCCACTTTCATCTTCTTTTAAAACTGAAAATATGGTGCCTTTTCTCCCTCCAGGAAGATTGGCAAATAGTTCCTTTTATTTACTGCTGCTGTGGAGTGATGAGATATGCACTTTACTCTTGAAGACTCAGCAAAAAGCTTTTCACTTCCCAGTATATCCAGAATAGATCACATTTGGGACTTACAAAAATTTGCCAAGCAATCTTTGTTTTTATAGATATTGATGTTGACCCCACAGTTCAATGTTATATGTCAAGCTAGTGTTTATCAGCCCCCCAAAGGAATCAGTGGCACAACATATAAAAATGTACCTCAGTGATGTTCTATTAAAAATGGGACAAGGGCCTTATGTTTTCATAATTTCCCAATAATGTGCCACCATATTTTTGCCTCAAGGTAAAAGTTTTAACAAGCTAAAAAGTACTTCCCACTTTCTCCTGTGCTGTTCCTAACCCATAATGCCCAAGTGTTCTGTGCAATGTGTAGTGTGTGTGTATGTGTAAATATATATGTATATAAATATATATACATATATATCCTTGAAATAGACATGCCATCGGAGACAACATTCAGAAGTAACTGGTGTATTGGCATCTCATTCATATTTCTGATATGTGAGGTATATGGTACTAATTACCTTTTCCCTGATGTTTGCCAAATTTGAATAAAGGCATTGGTACGAAATTCCAGAATGTATAGAAAATGTTTTTGGTTTGAAAAATTAACAACTATTTTATGACATACCACATGATACTCTGCCCAAACCAGCACCATATCTCTCTTTCCTGTTCTTTATATCCCTATTCCCCATTCCTACTTCTTCATTTTTGGGGGGTATAACATAATTTCTTTTGTAGCATCATTACAACTGCAATTCTATGATGGACTGGTATTAATAGTACAGTAGTCACCGGTGTGCCACATTTGCATTAGTAAATGCAAAATACACATTTTATAAAGGACAAATTTTGTGTTAATGTTTTTATTTTCATTACATTGTATAATATTGTAAGATTATTGTATGTCCTAATTTGCATTATAAATGTTTTTTTCCTACATAAAGGCATAAATATAGCAACTTTGTATAAAGGTAGCTTATTAGGTTTTTAATTTTTCTTTTATAAAAAGTTGTCTAACAGTGGGACTACCATTGCCAAATTGTATATGAAATATGAATTTTACCCCCTATGGTTCATTTCTTTTATAAACATTCCACATTTCTTTAATAAAAGACGTAAGTGATACTGTACTATGCATAAAATGTATTTTAATGCTGTTTCATATCAGCATTTTAAATTTGGTTTGCATTTTTCATATTGGCAAAATTTACCACTGTTGATGAAAACCTTGTTGTATATGTAACAACATCTTTTGGCCCACTCTCCTTCCCCACCCTTTGTTCTCTGTTTCTTTCTATCAGTGCCAACTTCATACATTTTGTAGCATGGCAATAAAATATAGCTTTTACACTGAGGCCAAGTGTGGCTTTTTGGAGGATGTGGACATGGGAGGATTGCCCTCTAGTTTTTTGCATATGACTTTTTGCCATATGAACCATGTCTCCAGGCACGAGAAGTTATCTCATATATGATGTAGACATGCTTTTAAGAACAAGTGTGAATGTGCTTTTAAGCTTAATTTTTGTCATAACAAGAACTAATTTTTTTATCTTTGGAAAAGTCATAGTTCTTAAAGTACAATCAAACCTTTATTAACTGGAGTACTTAAAGAATATGCTAATAATTGAATTTAGTTCAACAAGGGCTAAGCAACACTTTTTAAATCCTTATTTATTACAAAGTATTAGTATACTTTATATGTACAATATGGTTTAATCTTAGATGGTTTGGGATTTTGTGATGGCTTACTGTTGTCATTCTGGCCTAAATTTCCATGATGAGGTACTCGAGTTGATACTGGAAGCTGAGCTGACTATATACACTGACCTTAAGCATTCATGAAAAACTGCTTTGTTGAATAAAACCTGGTCGGATTTTTTATGGTTCCTTTCCCCTTATTGCTGAAAGTAGATTGCAATAAAACCCCAATAAAAGTTTGGTTGGATACCTATTTATAGTTTTACTGTATTTATATTTTATACATTTCTTGAAGCTATGATAGGAGGTTTTATTTCTCAATCTCATATCACTGCCTCCATTTCAAGTGAACATATAATGGGTTAAGGGTTATGTTTCATCAAAGTAAAAATGAAATTTTAAGTATATGACAGACTCACCGTTTTATCTTTGTGGTCATTCCAACTAGTAATTCTCAGCTCTGGGTCTCCAGACCTGTTTTTAGCCACTGGGTGACACTGCAAAGCCTATTTGGATACAGCTCAAGAGGGAGAACATTTGCGCAATGAAAGTGAGCCATGGCCAGGTAGCTCAGTTGAATGGAGCTTTGTCCAGATGTGCCAAGGTTGCAAGTTCCATCCCTGGTCAGGGCACATACAAGAATCATCCAATGAATGCATAAATAAGTAGAACAGTGAGTCAGTGTTTCTCTTTCTCTTCCCTTCCCTTCTTTTCTCTTTCCCCCACCCTTCAAATCAATTAAAAAAGAAAAAAAACAAAGGGAAGGACAAGTAAGTCCATAAATAATTGGGTGCTTACTGTTTGCCAGACATCTATGGAACACATAATTGGTCAAGATGTGGCAGAGACCAAGTTTTGGAAAACAGGCATTTGTTCTCAGAAATTAAGAACTTTTTTGGATTATTTCTGTATTTTTTTCTTTGAATTTCTTAGAAGACAGTAGCTATTCACTTGTTTTTATTTAATGAACGAGCATGAGCTAGGCCCAATGCTAGTAATAAAGATACCAGTCCTTGTCCTCAAAATATCTGTAGTTTAGAATAGCCTTCTAATGGGGCAATGCCCTTTCTCCCCCCAGAGGACTGCACCCTCACAAAGAAAGTGTAAATGATGAATTAACTTCTCTCTGATATATCTAGAATGGGTAATAGCTATATAGCTTAGGAGAACTGACATTTGTCAGTTCTTGGTAGGAGCGGTGTGATAAAGGCGCAAAAAAAAGGGAGGGCATCTAACTTGGCCTGAGAATAGGGGTTTTGAGAAGAACTTGGAGGAGGTAATCCCTAAGGTGTTTGATGACAGCCGTTGTAGACTAGAGGAAGGGAGAGGACGTCTTAGGGAGGAGGAGTAGCATATGCAAAGGTATGCAGATCATAATGTTCAATGGTGGAAAGGGGTTCCATCAGAAGAGCATGGGATGCAAAGACAGGGTGGAAAGAAGGGAAAAATGACAGACCTCAGTACCTATAGAATGCTAAAACATTTTTGTTTGAGGTTAGAGAATTTGAAGGATTTTAAACATTGGAGAAATAGAACTGACAGCAACATCAATGATGACAGGACATTTAAATAGACTGATGAAGAGGCTCTTACAGAAATGGAAGCAAAACTGTATAATGCCTATTCAAAGGCATTGTTAAGCAAGTGTTTAGGCTATTTATTGCTGTACACCAAACCACCTTAAAACTTGGTGGCTTAAATCAAATTTTGTTATTTCTCACTTTGCTATAGATCAAGGTGGTTGGACATATGGAACCCATTCCAAATGACAAAACTAGTAAATGGAAGATTTGAAATCCAAACATAGACAGCCTGGTTCCAGACGCTGAGCAATTAAACCCTGGGTCACAGCCCTGGCTAGGTGGCTCAGTTGTTTGGCACATTGTCCAGTACCCCCAAAAGTTTGCAGGTTTGATTTCTGGCCAGGACACGTACCTGGTTTGTGGGTTTGATCTCTGGTCAGGGCCTGAATGGCAGGCAACCAATTGATGTTTCTCTCTCACATCGATGTTTTTCTTTCTCCTTCCCTCACTTGCTCTCTCTTTGAAAAACAATAAAAACATATCCTTGGGTTTAAAAAAAATAACCTGAAATATGAGGGTGATGCCAAAGGAGGTAGGAAATTGGGAAGAATCAAAAACACTGCAATGAAAGCTGAGAGTCCTCTCAGCCATCTCCTCCTGGCTGTGTCTGGCCTCAGCTCCACAGGTGGCAGGGCCTGCCTCCCAATCCCCATCTAAAAGCTTCTGGCTGTTCTTTCCACTTCAAAGCGCACTAGGGAGGTGGGGTTGGTTTCTCCATCACCCTAAGTCTCAGGCTTGCCTGTGAGGACATATTTCCAGGTACGTGATTTGACCACAATAAAAACCTGTTTTGTGAGGTATCTTAGCTTATTATTGTGACTTCTCATTCTCGTCGCAGGGGTGTCCAACTGGCAACCCAGGATAGCTCTGAATGTGGCCCAACACGAAATCATACATTTACTGAAAACATTTATGAGATTTGTTTTCATTGTGTTTGTGTATTTTATGTGTGGCCCAAGAAAATTCTTCTTCCAGTGTGACCTAGACACGTCAAAAAATTAGATGCCCTGTCAGTGTGTGATTTGGCATATATATACCTGTCAAAGGGCATTCCTGAAAGAAGGGCCAATTTTTCCATGAACACACGATTTTGGTTAGATTTAAAATAACAATTTGTCCAGTCTGAACATCCCTTTTCATGATGGGCCTTGGAAATAGTGTAAACCAGGGTCAGCAAATATTTTCTATAAAGGATCAGATCACAAATATGTTAGGCTTAATGGGTTATACAGTCAATACAACTCAACTCTGCCATCCTATAATTGTATTGCATTGCACAGTATCAAAAATGAATGGGTATGCTTATGTTCCAGCCAAGCTATGGACACTAAAATATGTTTCATATAGTCTTAATGTATTATGAAATAGGCAGGTAGGATTTGGCTCCCCATAGTTTGTCAATCCTTGGTGTAAACTAACCCTTTTAGAATGTACCTAAAGGGTAGAAACAATTAAAAATTGAAAACATCTAACAATTGCCAAAAATTCACAAGCTTGCTAATTGATAAGTTCATCAAAAGGAGAAAAGGGTATTGGTAGATGATAGAAAAATAGATTTTTATTTTATATATATATTTAAAGATTTTATTTACTTTTAGAGAGGGGGAGGGAGAGAGAAAGGGAAAGAAACATTGACATGCAAGAGATACATTGATATCAGTTGCCTCTTGCAAGCCCCCAACTGGGGACCTGGCCAGCAGCAACTCAGGCATGTGCCCTGACTGAGAACGAATCAGTGACCTTTTGGTTCTCAGGCCAGGGCTACATCCACTGAACCACACCAGCCGGGGCTTTATTTTATATTTTTAATTGATCGTAGAGACAAAAAAGGAGAGGGAGATTGAGACAGAGATTTGTTGTTCCACTTAATTTATGTGCTCATTGGTTGATTCTTGTTGGTGCCAAAAGGGCATGGAACGTACAGCCTTGCTTGGTGTGTAGGATGAAGCTCTAACCAACTTAGTTCCACAGCGAGGGCTAGAATTTTTTTTAAGCACCGAACCGTCCTAAGGGGTCAATTTAGAGAAAGCAGACAACTGCTTTTAGTAAACTGATGTATTTCGGATCGATCTTGACCTCTACCAAGACTTTGAGTGAGAGTATATAAGTCATCTCTACTAATGGGGGAGGAGAGGGATGAATGAAACGCAAAACCTCCTGAACGAGCAAGCAGGGTAAAGATAAAAGTAAATGTTTCCATCATTGTATGTTGTCCTGGACAGTCAACATACAATTAAGAACATCGTTTTAAAACTCAATAAAAGGAACGTAAGTCTCTGTA